GTGATGGCGAAGCTTTGTTTACATGTGAACCACAGTTCGATAAAATACCTTCTCTTCAAGTAATGGTGTCATTCTTAAGAACCCACAACAACATAAAGAAACAAGACAACTTCTAATTTATTTTCCCAAACCACCCGGAGCCGCAGTATAAGGACTAAAGAGACGCAGGTTGCCGACCCCTGATCTAGGCTCTAATTTAGTTTCCCGTGTGATGACAGCGCTGCTGCTTCTGGAAGCTGAGCAGCCTGCTGTTCACCCGACCACTGAACAACCTCCATGCTTCTGTTCTTCATCATCATTTTTAATATGCAAATGCCAGAAAGAGTGAATGATTTCTGATGTTTTTTCTGTTTCTGCACTGAACTGAAGTCTAAACCAAAACCAGACGACTGTACTGGGGCCATTTCCCTTTGAATCAGCACAATTTGTCAACCGACGTCATCAAGACAAACATTTGGTTCACTTTAGATCAAATATTCTTCACCAACTTTTGACCATATCGTTTTTAACCAGCTGTTGTGAAGTGATGAACATCGATGCTCCAATCATGGCTGACAAGGTCAAAGATGTTGACTCAGCTGACTTTTTTCAAATGGAAACAAAACTAAATGTTATTTGAGCATCGACAGGAAAACCCAGCAACCTCAGCAATGACCTAAAACACCGTTTTAAAAATAACATGTAGGGAAAATTAGCCAAAAAAGGCAACAGAAAGATTTGCTGAAAGGCCGTCAGCAAATTTATTTTGACATGATTAGAAAGGCTGAAACAGTCTGAGTGTTTCACTGGCTCCAGAAAAACAGATACAAACATAGGAATGCATGTACGTACAAAGAAACATATTAGAGGTCAGAATCACCAAACACCCCACGGTACTGTGTTATTACTATTATATTATTACTGTGTTATCACCACACTGTGTTATCACCACACTGTGTTATCACCACACAATATTATTGTGATTCTTTACATTTTCAATACGCGGAGTTTCAGATTACGTCCTCTAAGTTAAACTGTTAGTTTTCTTGCTGCAGAATCAGACGATCGATCACAGAAACACTGTGACATAAATGTTGCCATATCACAGAGTCAAGCTGCTACTTCTGCTTTAAGTTTGTGACTAACTGGGGTAAAGTTGGCAATTACAGGCAATCAGTTTCTGATAAAACACCAATAAACTGATAAGTCATCAACAATCTCGTGTTACTGTCTGCTTAGACATAAATTCACATTTAACTCTTACATCTGCACTCAGCGAATGTCCTGATTTATACAAATACCAAATAAAGTAACTTGTTACCAACCAAAATACAACCAGCTG